ATTAACAAAGCTGTCTGAAAGCGATTGTCAAAACTGCTTTCAAGAGTGGTAGCAGCAAATGAAACAGTATATTGATGCAGATTAATATTATGTGAGCCAGAACATTGTCTAGGTGAAGAAATCAGCCGTTTTTTCACAGTTATAGCCGTTTCTTTTTAACACGTTGTCTCAATTTAATTAACATTTCATCTCTGTTATAGCTCTAACACTCAATCAATGATCTTGTCGAATAATTTTATCTATTTTTTAATATCATTGTCTGTAGCAAACGTGTTTAGGATAACTAGAATGATCATCGTCTGCAAAGTTTTCCTTTCCAAAACCAAACCATTTGTGCCACTCAAAAACACGAGCTTTTGTTTATCAACATTTACTATAAATTTCACTTAATATGCGCAATTTTCAATTTAACAAGAAATTTAATTTCTTTTTGAATCCAATATTTTTCCATAACATATTAGTTATAAAACAAGTAAATATAATAAAAATAAAACAAATTCTTCAATATTTACAGTACTATTAGATAAATGACTCTTAATCATATTTCAACAATAGCAATGTAGATAATTTAATTTTTATTAAAAAAGCCTACTTCATTGTTACATTTCGTATAATATTTTAGCAATTATAAAAAATTTTAACAACTAAAAACTTTTTCTGGTTTCTGGTTGGATGTGATTTATTAAAAAGTATTTTCCATGCTAAATTGAGTTATAATACAAACGCGTTATAAAATAAACAATAACTACAGAGTGACTAATGACTACTAGTGTATATAAGCTTGAGAAATATTTTAACTCACACACAAATAGAAGTATAAAAATCTGTATAAACAAATAGTACATCTCATTTAAAATGATGATACAATTAGGTTTTATAATAATTATAGTGTTAGGCAATCTCAATATTAACACAGAAGGATTTCTTTTCAATTATATTGGTTTATTCAATAAAACAAGTATTTAGTTACTTGTTGACATAAAATGAACCTTGAAATTGATAATCCTGGACAATGATTAAAAATTTATTAATTTACATTTTACTTAAAAACAATTTTTTTAATTAACTCGCAACATGTAATCAATTATAAATTTTTTGGATTTAATTTTATTAATAGTTTTTAGGTTTGATACGAAGCCGAGAAGGTATTAACTTCATCATGATGTGTCTATTATTTTTTTTTTTGTGTCTGTCACTACTTTTTCTTAGCTCTCACTGGACCGATTTTTCTCAACAATATGTCAAAATATCACAAATCGTATCTAGTTAAAGACATTACCCTCAAAAATTGAAAATTTTCTCCATGTTCCCTGTAAATGGCGAAAACCCCCCCAAAAAATTACAAATTTAAAAATCGCTAATTTTCGACATTTTTTAAAATTTCTTTTACTTAAAACTGCCATAACTTTTAGAAATATTTATGGATCAATCTAATTTCTTTTATAAGTACTTTATGTTTACCATCTTTTATTTGACATACTTTTTTTTTAATCGGATTATTACCCTATATATAGGGAAGTTTAAATTTCTAAAAATATGAGTAGAGCTTTTTCAATTTAACTTTTAAAAATATTCCAGAAACACTCCGAGCTTTAAATATATGTAAAATTAAAGCTTACAATAAATACTATAAGTTAAAAAAAAAAAAATTATCTGGACACCTTTTCTTCTAATGGAAAATTGAATTTTGAATTTAACAAAAAATGTAATTTTCATGTAAAAATCACTGTTTAACATAAAATATTTTAATACTTAAAACTGCCATAACTTTTGAAAAATTAAAAAATTAAAATAATTAATTTTTATATTAAAACCTTAGATGTTTCCCTTTCATTTGATCTAAATATTTTTTTAAATCTGACCCTTAACCTGCTCATAGGGTGCATTCAAAATACCACCTTCTACACAAAAATTTAACTTTTTTTACTTAATTTTTGAAAATGTTCCGGAAATATTGACACTTTTATTTAATCTTAAATTAAAGTTTATATAATATACTTTACTATGAAAAAAATTGTTGAGATATGATCGTCTTCATGGTAAAAATGGCTATGATATTCAAAAAAATGCCATTTTTGTGTTGAAATTCTTGGTATTATAATATACTTTATAAGGAGAGTACACTGATTTTCATAAATATTATATAAATCTAATTGACACTAGTGTCTTTTAATTAATTATTCTAATGCTATTCTTAATGGTCTAGAAATTAGTGAAATTAATTATAATTAATACTAATTTTGTAATTTGATTTCCCTATGATAGGTTAATGTTAAGATTTAGCCTAATTATTACCGTAGATTTTATCCAAATTCAAAATATGTATTAGGGAAATTTAAACATTTTTTCTGAGTATAGTCGCATAAAAGTTATGGCTAATATTATGAAGTTTAAACATTAATATTTATGAAATGTTGTATCCTTTTTTGTTATTGAAAGTATTGCATCAAGCTCTTTAAATGTTTATACGTGTTAAAAGTAAAGAAATATATTCAAAACAAAATAAAAAATACATGTATATTAAATATATGTTAAATAAATATTTATTCATATATTATACTTTTAAATCAAAAACCACTAATCAGGATATTATTAAGAAAATAAGAGTATGTTGTTTTTGTAATTATGAGCCAATTTCTTTGAATTAAACACTATCTACAGATTTGCATCACAGAGTTTCTTATGATAGTAATTTTAATCACTGTCATATATCTATACTAATCTAATGCCACAAAATATTTTATATTGTATGAGTGTGTTACAAATACGATGATAATAACTATGATGATTAGTATTAAGAAACGGTTTCAAAATTTTTTTTGCAAAAAGAATCACTGATCCGAATAAACTTTTTAGTAAAATCAACAAAATTTTTATCAATACACGACAAATAATATTTTTATTAAATAGATATACAGGGTGGCCCACCACTCACTGACAATTTAAATAACTTTTGATCCAGCTAATATTTTTAGCTGATTTTTTTTTTAAACATTAGTTAGACGTTAGGTATATAGCTATATCTCAATAATTAATTTTTTTACATTTTATTAAAAATATTAATTATTTTTAAATTTTAAATAAAATGTAAAAAAAAAATCTAAGATAGCTATTTTGTAGAGTAGAATTTAAGAAAAATTTTAGTAAAAAAATATCTTATTAATATTCAGTAGTAAATATTCTGTAGCGTTTTGAAGTTTGTGAAAATTTGAATTTTCATGTACTATTTTACGGTATTAAACATTGAAATACGTATTGAGAAAAGGACAGAAGAAAACGCTATCTTTTCAATATACTTTTGAATGAGAGTGATAAGTAATAATTGCCTTATCTAATTTCTTATCATGGTATTAATGCCAAGTTTGTAATGTATACACACTATCATCATATGTATACACAGTAATCATGAAAAGATAGCGTTTTCTTCTGTCCTTTTCTCAATACGTATTTCAATGTTTAATACCGTAAAATAGTACATGAAAATTCAAATTTTCACAAACTTCAAAACGCTACAGAATATTTACTACTGAATATTAATAAGATATTTTTTTACTAAAATTTTTCTTAAATTCTACTCTACAAAATAGCTATCTTAGATTTTTTTTTTACATTTTATTTAAAATTTAAAAATAATTAATATTTTTAATAAAATGTAAAAAAATTAATTATTGAGATATAGCTATAGACCTAACGTATAACTATTATTTAAAAAAAAAATCAACTAAAAATATTAACTGGATCAAAAGTTATTTAAGTTGTCAGTGAGTGGTGGGCCACCCTGTATAGCGACCATGGAACGATCGAGTATCTTCGTGACAGATAGGCAACACAAAATGCATATAGCGCGAATGTTCTCGATCGCCCATCGATTATAAAAGAATATTGTAGGATGCTACACACACTCATCACCACATCAGTCAATCAACCAATAAGTCATAAATTAGTTAGTTCGTTACAAGTAGACAGATAGTACACGTAGTGCGTGTATATATAGTAAATGTGTCTAAAAGTGTTTAAATAATAAACCGTCTATAATTTTTCTCTTTTTTACGTAAATCGGTGTATTTATTTATTGTTTAATCAATACGCGAGACACCAAAGATAGTATATTTTTTATTAGCTGAACCATTTTTTTTTTTTACGTTTTAGCCAAATATTTACAATACTTTTTTCGGAGACCTATTTTTAAATAGTATTACATATATTCGAATTACATTCAAGAGTAGGGGATCTCAATGTAACCTTTTTAAAGTGTAATTTAGATTATATTGCGTGGGACCAATATAATTTTTATACCCCTAAAAGTTATAATTTTTTGAAGATTTTAATTGATTGAAAAAAGTTTTTTTTTTGCTTATTACATCTTAATTTAAAAAATTTGGAATAAAAAAGTAACTTAAACCTAGATTATGATTTTTAAAAATTGCTGTCTTAGTCAATTGTCTCATATTTGCTCCTAAATAAGAGTAAATTTTTGGATTTAAGTTACAAAATTGTAGATTTTCAGTAATTATATTTGTAATAAAATTATCTATAACACAGATAATATATTTACGTACAGATATTTAAATTTTAATTGATTTTCAAACATTAATAATATAAAAACAATCTATAATGCTATAAATAGTTTTAGTCATCCAGTTTTGAAATGTTATGTAACAATAAAAACTATTCAAAATTATATTTAATTAAATAAATGATAAAAAAACCTTTACTAATGTTGTATAATATACTTAGAACTTGTTTTATAAGGTAGTCCAGATATAATCATAATATTGTTCTCTTCCTTGGGATAATCTAACCTTGATTGTGCGCACAAAATGTAAATACATAACAGTATACTCTTCATTTATTTGTTGAGTTCGACACTATACTAACAGTGATTGAGACATATAAGTTATTAACGGCTCGTAAATTAAATGTTATTTTCTATATCATTAAAAAGAATATAGAAGTAAAAATTAAAAAAAGTTATATCAATATATTTTTTATAATCGTAGATATTCTAAATATGATGTCAGTCGAAGAAAAGTTCATGAACTACAAACCACCATTATTACCAGAAAATTTAGCACATTTGCCTGACCGAGTTGCAAATAGTTTTGCCGGAAAAACTATTTTTATAACAGGAGGATCAGGATTTTTGGGAATGGTTTTGATCGAAAAATTATTAAGGAAATGTACCGATATAAAGAAAATCTATTTACTACTTCGGCCAAAGAAAGGGAAAGATCCAATGCAGCGACTTGAAGATTTGTTTTCATCAGAGGTAAGTTTTAATTTTCCTTATATGTTACATTATTTTTAGTGTGTAACATATTTTTAATTAATTTTAGCTACTGTAAACTAATGTAAAACTATAATTTAAAGCTGTCATTGTATAAGTCTATTAATAAGAACCAAAAAAAAATTTTCCTATAAATTTAATTTTACAAATTTGGAATATTATTTATTAAACGGGATTGACCCTTATTATACAAAAATATAATTACAAAAATGTAACAAAAAAAGAAAAATAGTAATATAAAAATAATAAACATTAAGAAAAAACAAATATTTCAACAATAGTATATAAAATATGTGTTTAATTGAAATTGAAAGAGGGGTCTTCATTGGAATTTTTCATTAAACATTTAATTGGTTCATTATAAATATAATTAGAAGAACATATAGGTATGAAGAAGGGAGCGTGATTTTTGGATTTTCTCTGGGGAACTTTAAAATTAATTAACGCTAAAAGAGATGGTGAGTCAACTTTATCAGTTTTATTATAAATGGAATTTTCTGATTAGGAGTTATATCATATCTTTAATTACTTATGTTTATATACATGTTATCTAAGCATAATTTTCATAGTTATAATAAATTTTAACGTTTTCAATAATATACAATTTTTTTAGAGCATTATATATATTTTTTTGCATCTAGAACCCATTAATGGGTTTAAGCACATCATTCCAACCAAAAATCGTTAGTCAGATAGCAGTATAAAAAACAATGTTATACAAAACATATTATTAAACAAAAAAATTCTATCTCTAGATTGTATCCTTGCTGAAATGTATATATTATTTATAAGTTGAAATAATTGACCAAGTAATTTTATATTCTTAAATTTTTTTATAATATTATGAATAATGAAATTTAATTATTTTTAACAGTTAATTTTTGAAATTAATTGATTTTATCATTATATTGTCATTATTTTTATCATTAAATTAAAAAAAGCATGGAAATTTGTAATAAACTTTTAAGGTTATACGAAAACATTAATTATAGATAGCTTAACTACTAAATTTCAAGTTCATCTTGAAATTTAATCTGAAACTCTCAATAAATATACAAAACTTTAAACTACAGTAAAAAAATAAAAGTTTTATAAATGCCAAAAATCATTCTTTTCTATTTGGATTAAATTTACCCTTCCAAATTCATCTTTAAGACATATCCAAATTTACCTGGGAGAATATAATGTAGATTTAAAATAGAATGTCAATAATTAGTAGTATCTTAAGGAACACTTAGGTTTGCCTTGAACGATTTACGTCGCAATAATGTAGTCGACACTGGTTTTGAGGGTAAAGACCTATGAGCCGTTAATTATCAACAACAACAGGTTATTTAAAAACAAACAAACCTCAAAGCGAACACAGTTAATAATAATCTTCACATAATATCGCGGCACTTTCGCTGGCGTCGGCGACGCGGTGCCCGGCAAGATCCTCCGGCGTCGAAAAGTTAGCAGCGTTAATGGCGACAGTGCGCTGGTGTGGTTCGGTTCGTCGAGTCCGGTCGTGCCGCACGACCGGAGACGGTGGCGTACATCCACGACGTAATTTTGACAACGGGAAGAAGACTCAATCTATCATTTGCGACGGGTCATCGAGGCCCGTGCGGCACTTGTTGGACTTTGCACCGTGGCGTATGGCACGCGGTGTTGATCAGTCAAATATTCATAGTAGGGCGACAGCTGATAAAGGTGGCACGAGTCGCGGGACATCGTGTTTCACGAAACGACGCGGGACCTTGTCAAATACCCCCCGCCAAGCCGCCGATCTACTTAATGACGTCCGGCAAGGTAATCGCGTATCGCGGTGAAGGCCTCAAAACTCAAGTTGTTTCTAAGGAGTGAGTGCGTATATTCCTATTGCATGGGTTTCTCCGCTGGACGCTGCTGATTCGCGGATGTTGTTGCCGCTACTGTGCTGTTGCTGCCGTTTTTGTTGTCGTTGCAGCTACTGTACTGTTGCTGCTCTTATTATAGTTGTCACCGCTACTGTGCTGTTGCTGCTGTTATTGTTGTTTAAAATGATGTCTCCTCCATGTTGGATGGGAAGGGTGGTGGAGTCAGCCTCTGTTCTCGGGCTGGCACTAGTAAAGTGAGTGTGCTGTCGGTCCGCGCTTTGTGGTCGAGTGGTAATACAATGTGTATTCGATGAGCGGTGTGCGTCCCACCGTGTCATTAAAGCTGTTGCGCAGTTTTTCACTATTTGTGATAATAATACGCGCGTATGTGGGTCGCCTGCTATATCTAGTGTTGAGAGATCTACGTCAGGTAGCGTGTGCCGAGTACTCGCCTTCCAACGAGCTGTAGTGCGTCGCGTCGCGCCTAGGTGAATTGTACATGCAGCGTAGTCCCAGGTGACTTCCTGTTTTGTTGGAATGTCGTGTCCCAGGAGTACGTCACAATACAGATTCTCCAAGCCGTAGAATTAATCGTCAGATCCGCTATGTTCGTGGTAAAGGTGCCGGCCGTGTCGGTTGTGTCAGCAAACCTTACCGGAGGTGTTTGTCCGTTGTGCACAATTCCAAATTTGTGGGCTATTGCCCGACCGGTATATGACTTTTGCGCTTGCGGGTCAAGTAAGGCCGTCACAAAGCCGTTGTCGAATTGCAGCTCCACGGCGGGATTAGTAATCCTGTAAATTAGTGTAATATAAAAAAATAATTTTACATTCGGAAAATGTCTAATTTAAATTAAATCAAAAAGAATTATGTAATAATTATAATATTACGTCGATAACTAAAAAAAACTAATCATTTTAAATTACACTTTTCTATGATAATATTAATGTTATTTTGATGAATATACATCATAGTTCAAGCTCCAAAAACTGAGTTGTCCGTGCATTTATAATATTATATTTTATTTAAGTATTCATATTTATATTGAGATTTAATTATTAAAATTTAATCAATAAAAAGTACAATATTTCATCCACAAATGCAATAATATCATGTTTATCGATTTTACTTAAATTACTCAACAAATAATAATAATTAGGTCATTATATATATTTGATATTATTTTTTTTAACGTATATTTAAATCATCTATCTGGACGATCGATGTTTGCCTTGAATTTAATTTCTTTTTGACCGCCACCATTTATTAGAAAAACATTAAGTAAACAATCTCAAAAGTAAAAAAAAACTACAAAACTATTACATGACAATCGTCTTGGATCAAATTCGGGTTAATGTTTATCAACTGCTGCCATAATAGTCTTTCCTTCTCTTCGGTCAGTAAAATACTAGAAATATACGCCGCAACTACTTTACTATTTTTGACATTTTTAAAATGTAGACAATTTGAAAAAACAATATCTTGAATATTATTATATGATAAACGTGCATATTTTATAAATAATATAAATAAAAACATAATTAATGTAATAAATACTCAAAATAATTAATTTTATAAGAAGATAATCAATGTATAAAATAAAGCTAAAAGTAATCACTTTTAACATAATTAAATTAATATAAATATATCAATATAGACATCAATAAAATGTTTTTTTAATTTTATCAAAATGTAATAGAATCACTTACAAATAATTTTAAACAATACCAATAAAATTATTTGCACATTACTGGAATAATAGTTAATGAAAATTTATTGATAAAACGTCAATTTTGAAGTAATTATTATATTTTGATTGACTTGTTTTTTTCAGTTATTCAATTACCTTAAAGAATTGCAAGGTACAGATTTTATAAAAAAAATATCAGTTGTTGCTGGAGATATTGCCGAGATAAATTTAGGTATACAAGAAGATGATCGTAAAATTCTTATTGACGAAGTAAATATTGTTTATCATGCGGCGGCTACAGTACGTTTTGATGAACCTTTAAAAAAAGCAGTATTTTTAAACACTAGAGGTACAAAGTTTGCATTAGAACTGTCCAAAAAAATGAAAAAACTCGAGGTATTGTTCAAGTGTTTTTGCTTTAATTATAAATAATCTTGAATAATTAATCATTATTAATTTATACAGGTCTTTGTCTATGTTTCTACAGCTTACTGTCATCCATCAGAAACAGAATTACAGGAAAAAATTTACAATTCTCCAGTTGATCCTCACAAAATAATCCTAAGTATGGAGATAATGGAAAATAAATACATAGAAAATATTTCCAAACAGTAAGCGCACTACTTATTGTAAATCTAACTTTGTTAATTAAATTGAATTTTAGCTAATGTATTATAATTACAGAATCGTGGGTGATTTTCCTAATTCGTATGCATTTACAAAATGTCTTGCAGAACAATTGGTGGCTGAACAAATACAATCTGGCATGCCATGTATGATTACTCGTCCCTCTGTAGGTTAGAATTGATTTTAAAATTTTAGTAAGCATTAGTTACAAAGTATTAATGCAAAAAACATTTATTTTTGTAGTAATTTCTATTTGGAAAGAGCCTTTGCCAGGTTGGGCTTTGAACAAAAATGGCCCTGTAGGATTATTTATTGCTGCTGGAAAAGGAATTGTTAGAACCATGTATTGTAACAATAAAGGATATGCAGATTTCATTCCCGTTGATACAGTTACTAATGGACTTGTCTTATCCGTTTGGAACTATTTGGAAAATAAGTACGTTACACAAGGGATGCAAAAATGATTTATGGTGGTTTTGATGGATAGTTACTGTAGTAATTATAGTATTATAAATCTTATTTCTGATATTGAATCGTCGGAAATCTATACTTTATTGTTTTTTAATCCATTCTAAATGCTCGGATAATATAAAATGGATGATCTAATTGCTTTTTATTCTCACACGCTAGTCAGTGTACAAGCCGTTTCCCTTCCTTTATTCTACTTATATGTTCGGAATAATTTTGAAATTATTTTCATCATACTTATCAAATCTAGCTTATTTTATTTATAACTCTCAGTTCTTTTTCAAAACCTATTTGATTCAATGGAATATTAAGTAATCCGTAAACCTTACTATTAAAAGATGCCGTTTTGTTGCTAGCTGTGGTTCGAATTGTTTGGAATGTACCAAAACGTATGTATTTTATCCGATAAATTTCAAAATATAGTTCCCTTTCTACTCTTTTTAATTTAATAATTCGAAAAAGGTAATTTTCCCCTCAATTTTTTGTTTGCGCATGAATTTCATTGATGGATAGAAACAATTTAAATCTTGTATAATGACCTCCGTATTAAAATTTGTATTAATTACTGCAAAAATATCATCTAGATACCAAACTCAAATTTTTGGAAAATCACTAGAGGTGTTTTTTCGAATCTACTCATTTGCTAAAGATGATGATTGCGGATTTCTCAGTGCTATGCCATCAATTTCTTTATCAAATTTATTTTGAAGCCATACATAACTTTGTTAAATGAATAAGCTCATTTATGTTATCCTAATCTATGTCTTGTTCCTTTAGCAAATATTTAAGAAAATTCATTGTTATACTTATCGAATTACTTGAAAATAAGGCTTCTACGTCAAAAGAAATTAACTTATTATTTTTTAGATCCTGTACTAGACTTAAATATTTTTCATTTTTTCCTAAAGTTCATTGACTTACAACAGAATTTTTTCTAGAAAATTAAAACATTCCCTTCTTGCTAAGTCTTGATTATTATAATCCACGCTTTTAAACCCATTTCAATATCTGTTAGAACATCGGATCCATCGGAATTTTTTTCAATAAAAAACTTGTTTTATGACCAAACTTAAGCGTTCGTGTAATTTTTAACTAAATTATTCCCAATTAAAAAAAAAAAAACATGAAACTTGAACTTTTATTAAAACTATTTATTTGACTTTTATATTTGTATGTCGGAAAATAAATTTTGAAATTTTTTCTTTAACTTGACACGACTTGCGTCGCAATATTATAGTTGTCACTATTTTGATGGTAGAGACCCGCGAGTCGTTTATAATTCATGAAAAACAATAGATTATTTAAAAAAAAAACCCGAGAAGACTAACACAATTAATAATTATCTTCGCATAATATCGCGGCACCTTCGCTGGCTTTGGCGAGGCAGTGACCGACATGGTCCTCGGACGTCAAAAGTTAGTAGTGTTGATGGTTATGGTGGCGGATTCGGATCGGTTCGTCAAGTCCGGTCGTGCGACACGTCCGGAGCCGGTGGGGTATAAGCTTGACGTTGTCACTTTGACGGCGGAAAGAAGACTTAACGTATAATTTGCGGCACTTACTGGACCGTGGCGTATAGCACACGGTGTTGATCTGTCAACCTATCAAATATCCATAGTAGGGCGACTGCTGATAATGATAAACTTTTCTTTTTTTGATTCGAATTTATCTTCAATTACATGGTATATCTTATGTTCGAAATATTCCCACTGTGATTGACTCAGAAAATTGAAAAGTTCTAAATGTGATTGATAAGCCCCCATTACTAATTTACTTCTAATACGGCAATGATTCATTAACTAAAAAACTTTTTCCAAGCAAAAATTTGAGTTAAATATATTTTAGATTCAAATTAATATTTTAAATTTCAAATTTTATTTGTTTTTTAGTAGTACATTTATTATTGTTAATATGCTAGATAGCGACAGGAACACTATCTTCAACCCATACCTTCATTAATTTACATAAAATATTTTGTGGAAATACAACTTATCAATGTGTATGTCGTAGTTCACCAGTGGTGTGCTTAAAAGATATGACCCAAATTTCTTCTTTATATATTTTTTTTATTGATATTATAGTTTTTTTGGACAAAGTAGCTTTATGGCATAATTATCAAATATCGAACAATTGCAAGGTATTAACATTTTTTTAAAAACTTTATTTACAAGAAAAATAGTCATATTTTCTCACAAGAATTATAAATATTTCTATATAGTTTCTCTAACTATCTATTTTATGTTGTACGCAATGGCAGAGACGTTGTATGCCATTTAAAATACAAAACTTATATTTGGAGTTATGGTCCCAAAAATGTCTATTTATAGCTGCATTTAACGTTTTCAAGTTTTAGTAGTCAGTTAGATAGGTTCTTCTTATTTTTGAAAAGCGTCGAAGTTAGAACGACTTAAAACAAAAGAATATGAAGAGTATAATAGAGTTTTCCAGCTATATTCAGCAATAACAGTTGTAAAAATATTTATATTATTTTTTTTGGATTTATTATCTCTTCTTCGACAATTTTAAAGCCTTCTCAATAATTTTTACTTTGAAACTACCGGGTTTTATTTCTTGCTTGTTGTGTTGAGTTACAAAACGCTTATCGTTCAGGTAGTATAATTGATTTTGCCATAAATAAAGTATACTCGGTTGATTTATTGTCGAGTTTTATCTCCAAAATGTATAAGTATTTAAATCCATATTTTTTCTTTGCAAGGCTGTCTTGTGATTGTTTATATAGCGAAGTTTTGTACCGCTTCTATTTTTTTAACACGCTTATATTAGTTTCACCTGTATGTATGTATGTCATAACGCATTCACTCCACCCCACGACTCGCTCATTACACGCCGGCAATACTATTCCTGTATAAATTTATTTTTGGTTATCGTACCCGTACACACGTGCGTGTCATCAATATTATATATATATAAACAAATTTTTATTTTGACTGACCATTATCATCCGCGTGCATACGGCTTACGTATACAGAGTGTTCAATAAATAAGGAAACGAATTTCTATTGTACTCATTGTTTGTAACAATTTAACTGTTTCCTAACTTACTGAACACCCTGTATATTCCTACTGCCGTTTATACCTCAGGTATAACGTTAGTCCGACCCGCCCGCCCACAAAACACGACTGTACCTAATGCATGATACGTTTACGTCGTTTTACATGTATATATAATCCAGTATCGTCATTTTTCGTCACTACCTCCATGTTCCGGGAGTGGGTAATTTACTCGCCTGCTGCTTTACTTGGATGTGGTAGCCATTTCTCAGACGTTGAGAAGTTTTACTTCAAATATTANTAGACGTTGAGAAGTTTTACTTTAAATATTAGTTCTATTATTTCATTAACTTTAATAATTCAATTTTTATACACTTGTGTTAACGTATCACTTAGAATTAATAACTTTAACAATAGTCGTGACATTAACGAATTATTATTTTGTTTTCCAGAGATACATCCAAAAACGTTTTTAATTTGACGTCATGCAAAGAATTGCGTGTCACGTGGCAAGAAATTATTGAAAAAGGTAGAGAAATTCTTAAAGAGATACCACTTAATGGCTGTGTGTGGTATCCAGGAGGCTCATTTAAAAGTAGTAAATTTCTTCAAAATCTTTGTGCATTTTTTTTACATACCATGCCTGCTTACTTTTTGGACGCTCTAATATATCTGTCCGGTCACAAGCCATGGTAATATATTGAAAAATATTTATGTAATACTAAATAGCTACGCTTCGAAGATAACATTTGTAATTTTTTTAATTTTTTAGTTTAGTCAATATAAACGATCGAATCAATAAAGGATTTGAAGTATTTGAATACTATACCAATAACGTATGGGACTTTAGAAATGATAATCTGCGTTATACAAGAACAATTATGAACGAGCGAGAAAATTTTGATTACAATGTAAATGTCTCTGAGTTGGACGTAATAAGTTATATGAAAAATAACATATTAGGATGTCGAGTGTATCTCATGAAAGAACCTCATGACACTCTGCCTGCCGCTCGTCGACATTTGAAAAGGTAAAAAAAATTATTGACTGAAAATGATTTACTATAATGTTTTATTTATTGCAGGATGTATTATGTTGATCTTGTAACCAAAATAATTTTATTTGGTCTTGTTTTTGCATTTTTTTACTCGTGGTCCGAAACTATAATAGCAGCAATTTTAATGGTGTTGTATTTATTGCAACTCTTATTCAATTACTTGACAACAATAATCAAAAGGGATCCTTCATTCGGACAAGGAACAAATAACGAGTTATAACCTAGAATTCAATTGATTCCTTGTTATTACTTTTATTGTTACTTATTATTTTGTAAGAAGTAAATAATGTGATGTTATAAATATTTTGAAACTCTCAACAAATTAAATTAGTATAATTTTGAATTTATGATTTTATTTTTAAGTTAGATTATACCAGTATAAATATCCTAAATATTTATCATTGTTCAAAATATATTGTGTGTTTAGTTAAATCTAAATGGTGATCAAGTTTATTTTATATTATTGTTAAAATTTTAATTATTTATTACAAACAAATTGTTAACAATTACCGTACGTTGACTTTGTCTGGTGTAGACACTAAAATATACACAAATCAAATAAATAATTCTCTTTAATATTAACTGCGTATCTTTGGCTCTTCCCGGGTATCCTTGTCGGAATACACCAATCAGCCCAATTTTCTCAAGTAAGTAAGCCATTGAAGGGGTAGCCTGTAGACCCGTCAGTTTAGCACGAAAGTAGCAAACAAAATAACTACAATAATAATTAAAATCTTTAGAACGGTTATAAATAATTGTATTTTGAATATACAATGGTAAAATACACACGAAAAATAATAAAATATAAACAGTTTCAATTATGCCCTTACGAACATAAAATAATACCTTCCAGTGGCGCAACCAGGGGGGGTGTTTTGGGTGTCTGGATACCCCCCTTGGACCGTATTTTTTATTTAATAACTATTGAAAAGTGATCTATTTATATTAAATTTATAACATAAAAATCATAATNAATAAAATAATACCTTCCATTTAGCAGCGACTGAAACGACCATGTTCAAATCACCATTCCCCTTTCTTAATTTGGTCCCTTTTTTTAGGTTCCCTGCTCAATTAATTAAATTATTTGCCGATTCTCTAATTCATTACATTTTTTGTTGATATGATCATAATAAAGTTTTACCACACAATAAAAATCTTTTTTTTCTCAATAAAAATTAAAATAACAGAATGTTTGAGACTTTTTTCCAAACAGTTGAAAAATCTTTTAAACATTTAAAGAAATTCAAAAATTAATTTTTTATTTTATCATTAAAAATGTAAAAAAAACCATTTTGTAAAAATATATTTATTTTATATAAAACTATTGAGTTTTAAAAATATTGTTAATAATCACTAGCACAAAAAAATTATACTGTATACAAATCAACTCCTAATTTTATGGTATAATGTTAATCGGAGAAATTTCAATCTTTAATGTAATTTATTTTTCTTATTCATGCTAATAAAATTAGATAATTTGTTCATGTTTTTAACAAGCATAAATTTTAAACAAAAAATTATTTTTTGTTTGACTACAAATTATATGTTAAAATGATTATTTAATGGTAAATTAATAAAATCAGGACTATGCAATAGATTTTATGCGTTTTAATTCCAAAATTATTTTAAGTATTTTTTACGAAGTGTTTACTATTTTAATTGGTAATATGTTATTTATGATATATATATGTATGTATTAAAATAAATGTTGATTAAGTCACTTCAAAGTCACACGAGTTGGTAAAAATTCATTATATATCCGAAATTTTTAAACTTTAAGATAAAACACATTACGTTTTTTATTGAATTTACAGGAATTTGTTTTTAAAATAGTACCACAAATAATTATAATTACGTTTAAATTATGTTTAAAATAACCTTTATTTTTAAATTTATAAATATTGTTTGAAATGTTAAAATTTCCTAGTAAATTTCCATAAAATGGCTTATGTCATTTTAGGTTGTTATGGAATTTAAGTCGATTAAGTCTATTATAATATTCAGGGAATTATTACTAATTACCTTATGAGCTGTAGGCTATTTAATGCTTATAAAAATTAAGTAACTGTTACGGTATATGATAAATATAGTAATCATCTATTTTATTTACCTAAATAAAAAAATAGTTTAATGTATAATTTTAACTAATTGATATATACAATTAAAACTTAAATTGATCTTTATTATATTTGTTTGGTACAGAACGATGTATTTTATTTAAATACTATATAACCTTACTTAAATATTAGCTACTTCAAAAAATTTAATAAATATTTCAATTATTTTTTGTGCACATTTATATAACTCGATAAACTAATCAAATTTTATAATTTATGATATTTTAATTGCACCTTTAAATAATTTAAATTTCAAAATAAAAATATAGCATTTATTAGAAATAAATACCATTACATTAATCATATTAAATGTCTCCTGATATGAATAATTATAATTTTTTCTCGTAACATTTTCTTGTCATTTCATGATATAATGTCATGGACCGTGTAAATTATTTTTAATACATATACGATACATTTTTAATATGTTTATATATTGTTTCTAATTGTACTTAAATTCATTGTACTAACATAAATACTGAACTTATTAATTTTACAAAAAAAAAAAAATTGTAGTCGATAACAAAATACTATAAATTATAAATTAATTCTATGATGAAATCTTCACTAAGTTTTTAGTAAAAGTAGTCAATGGTTACATTTTTAATCAACTTCTATAATTTAATTTACAAAAATAAAAAATTCAGTAAAGTCGAATAATCTATTATTTTAGAAAATAAACAGTTATGTGCTTTAATAATTTCATATCACACTTGTAATTTTTAATTAAGTAGTTGGACGATTAATTTCCAGACATGGAATTATAATGACACATCCTTTCCTTTTCATTATTAACTATTGTAGTTTTCCTCAAAAAATGAAACCTCTATTGCAATTAACAGGCAACTAGTGGGGCACTTATCCATTGTTTCCCTTTCTTTTTGAAATACCAAAGAGTTACAGTTATAACTGATAACATCATTAACCATTTGTCTCCTGAAGAATCACTGTCATATTTCTGTTGTGTTGTGGTCATCAGCGATACGCTTTCAAATTCATTTTGATTTTCTTACAAAAACTACAGTTATGTCAACTTACGAGGAAAGCTTCATGAATTACAGGCCACCAACCCTACCGGAAAATCTTTCTCACCTACCAGACCGAGTATCCAAAACTTTTGCTAACAAAACTATTTTCATTACTGGTGGCTCAGGATTTCTCGGAAAAGTTTTACTGGAAAAGCTATTAAGAAAATCACGTGACATAAAAAGAATATATTTACTGCTCCGACCAAAAAAGGGAAAAGATCCAAAACAGCGTATAGAAGCTTTATTTTCAATTGAGGTCAGTATGTAAATTAATTTTTAATAATTTTCCAACTTAGTATTAATTTTAAGAAAAAAATATATATATCTTATTTATATAAACATCAAAAAGGTATAAATATTAACTAATTTTTTCACATTATTTTTCAGTTGAAAAGAAATTAAACTATGTTTAAACATGATCTAATTTATATTTTTCAGTGGCACAACTACTACATAACTACTGCTAGGCTCTAGTACATTTTCTGCATTTTAATATCTATAGTTTTACCGAAGTACTAATTACAGTATTAAGTATTTATTTATAAAAATGTACTATCAGTTTTTTCTAGTATTGCGTTTACGTTATACTACAACTGTAGTATATAAAATCGTTTTTTTTTTTGGAGCATACTCGGATATTATAATATTATAGCACCGATTATAATTGTTATTTTAATTATACAGTTATATATATTAATGTGGTGGATTATATGTGATTTGATTATGGGGGGTATGAGGATGGAGTAAAAAAGTGTTTAAGCTATTTGACATGCTTAATATTCTTTAATAGCTTATATTATTGATTATTAATTAGTATAGATAATTACGATTTAAGAGTTTACAAATTTAATCGAAATTTTGATAATTAGAAATTGTACAAAGTATTTCAATAGATAATTTTTTTTTTTAATTAGAAATTTTTTAGTTTTTACGAGAGAAACAAATTAAAAAATTAATATATATGTTTTATAATATATCACAGGTTGAAAGATTAAATTTTTTTCATGTCTTCTCAATAAATTCTTGAATTAATACAATTTTTAATATGGTCACCGACTAGTTTTAGCTTTAAAATATTTTTATTCTAAAGCTGTTCTGTTATATATAAGATTAAGAATTATATGCATTTATAAATTTTGTTTAAGCTATTTTGAAGGGTTTCTAAATACTCTCCAAAATTACAAGCTTGATAACAAAAATTACTAACAAGGGGAGGTCACGGTGATGGGGTCACCGATTTTCATAAAATTTATATAGATCTAATCTATATTGAATACAGAATCAGACGTATTTGGAATTTTTTGCCAATGCCCCCCCTAAGTCAAGAAAATTGACTTTGAAAATTTTTAATTAGCTTAAATAGGGTCATTTTTCTTTTGGATAACAATTCATGTTATGGTCCAGTCGACAGTACATGATCCTCTAATACGTACAGGCCCGGAATCGAGTCACACCACCTTATGAAATTTTTTGCTTTTTTTTTCACTGTTTTCTCTTTGAATCATTAATTTTATGTAATATTTGAAAATTTTTTTAAAATAATAAATAAAATATATTTTTTATATTAACCTGGTAAGAGTATATAAATTATAAAGGAGAGAGATTTTTGAAAGGTTTAACGTTCAGTGCAGGGTTTTGCGTGGAGTTCATATTTTATGAAGGAGTAAAGTTAATCATTTTTTTTTTTTCATTGAATAAAATTTATTCATTTGAATTGAATTATATTTATTGATTAATATTTACGTGTATTTAAAACTCTTAAATTATTATTTTAAATAATCTATTTAATAATCAAAATTAATAATAATAAAAAAAAAATTATAAATTATTATTTATTCAATTGACTATGACTTTTTGTCATATAACAAACATACATTTTTTTAATAATTAAAATAAAATATATTTTTACTATTAACCAGGTAAGAGTATATTTATAAAGAGATAATAATGAGGAATTAAATATATATAAAATCATTATATATTTTAATTTAATCTATTGTAATTTTCAAAAAAATTCATAAAATATGAACTCCACGCAAAACCTTGCACTGAACGTTAAACCTTTCAAAAATCTCTCTTCTTTATAATTTATATACTCTTACCAGGTTAATATAAAAAATATATTTTATTTATTATTATAAAAAAATTTTCAAGTATTACATAAAATTAATAATTCAAAGAGAAAACAGTGAAAAAAAAAGCAAAAAATTTCATAAGGTAGTGTGACTCGATCCCTGGCCTGTACGTATTAGATGATCACGTACTGTCGACTGGACCATAACATGAATTGTTATCCAGAAGAAAAATGACCCTATTTAAGCTAATTAAAAATTTTCAAAGTCAATTTTCTTGACTTATGGGGGGCATTGTCAAAAAATCCCAAATACGTCTGATTCTGTATTCAATATAGATTAGATCTATATAAATTTTATGAAAATCGGTGACCCCATCACCGTGACCTCCCGTTGTAAGTTTTATAGTCAATTAACAAAAATTTGTACTGGCTGATGATGTGTCAAGAATAATTTAGTATTTAATCCCTAGCCATAGTTACAGCTACGGTGCAAGGTTTTACAGGTTTCCTGTATCAAGATAGAGGGAGTTGAAGTGGAATAGATTCCTTCAGTAAAAATTATTTGGTCTAAATATATATTTTTTTTTTGTTTTGAAAGAGTAATAAAAATTTTTCTTTTGTACTTGCCTCTAAAACAAAACCTTAATTACGCCCTTGCTTTGTGTAGGGCATGGAACACGCATTCGCTCGCCTCGGATTTTTACTGCCTAATTATACATAAATAATTTCATAACATTACTAATTATCATAACTAATATTTATCTTCTATTACAGTTATTTAATTATATAAAAGAATTACAAGGAGAAAAATGTATGAATAAAGTAATCCCTATTTCTGGTGATGTTAGTAAAATAAATTTAGGCTTAACTCCAGAAGACTATGTTAAACTTTCTGAAGAGGTTAATATTGTATTCAATATGGCAGCAACTATACGGTTCGATGAGCCATTGAAAAAAGCTGTGTTAATAAATACCCGGGGTACTAAATATACACTAGAATTGGCAAATGAAATGAAAAATCTGGAGGTAATAAAATATAAATTCCATATCTTATTAAGATAGATTTTTATATATTTTTTACTTTTATAGTTATTTGTACATGTTTCAACGGCCTATTGTCATTTGAATGAAAAGGTGTTGTACGAAAAAGTATATCCTCCTCCAGCTGATCCACATAAAATTATTAAAACTATGGAAATTTTGGAAGATCATTATATTGATTCGATCACCAAACAGTCAGTGAAATTTTACTTTCTATAAATGAGCATTTTTAAATATTTTTATGTACTTTTAGAATCATTGGCATATTTCCTAATACTTATGCGTTCACAAAATCCCTCTCGGAGCATTTAGTGGTCGAACAGATGCAAGCTGGATTGCCATGCATAATAACTCGCCCATCAGTTGGTTAGTGAATGAATGCATTTGGTTTAAATTGAGTTTAAATTGTCATATATTTTACAGTTATTCCTATTTGGAATGAGCCTCTCCCTGGCTGGACAGATAATATGAATGGCCCCATTGGTTTGCTTATCGGAGCTGGGAAAGGAGTGATCCGTAGCATGTACTGTGACAACAATGGTTACGAAGATTTTTATCCAGTAGACATAACAGTAAATGCCCTACTTGTCTATGCATGGAACTACATCGCTAATAAGTGAGTGAATAATTTGACAGGTAGTTCAAATCAATAAAACGTAACAAATAAAATTTTTCTTATAGGGACACAGCCAAAAGTATTTACCATCTAACATCCGGTAATGAAATCAAGGTATCATATCAAGATTTGATTGACATTACCAAAGAAATAGCTGTAACTGAGATACCGCTAAATGGCTGTGTCTGGTATCCGGGTGGAAGCTTAAAAAAAAGTAGATTTGTTCATAATATTAGCGCCTTTTTTTTCCATACTATTCCGGCTTATCTTTTAGATGCTCTAATATTTTTATCAGGAAATAAACCTTGGTAAATTTTCATAAATAATTGAATAATAACCAAAATGTATATGATAATAATTTTTTATTTTAATTTTAGTATGCGCCGCATTCAAGATAAAATTAATAAGGGATTTGAAGTTTTTGAGTACTACGCTAACAATCAATGGGATTTTAGAAACGATCACGTTACTCACATTAGAAAAATCTTAAACGACCGAGAAAATTTTGAATACAATGTTAGATATGATAATCTAGTTATTCGAGACTACATTAAGAACTGCGTCATGGGTGCTCGAGTTTATATATTGAAAGAAATGCCAGACACATTACCTAGTGCAAGAAGACATATAAAATTGTAAGTTTTAAGTTACTATCCTTCTAGCTTAAAGAATATCTGACGGCACGAACTTATAACTGAAATCATTATATTCATATATAGTCCGAAATAGGAAATATATCAATTACTCAGTGTTTTTTTAATTATAATAATTAATTATTATGATTTTAATTATAATTTAATTTATGCTTGAGGTTGAAAAGTTTTCAATTTTTTTGTTTACGATGAATATATTATAATTTCTCTATAAATAATAATTATATTATGAAAATTCTGTTTGGTATTTTTTAGTTTCACATATTTCTCAATTCATTAATCAATAAGTATTTTTTTAATTCAATCCTGATACGTTATAAAAGCGTAAACTTTATTTTTTTAATTGACGCCATACGTTTTCAAATAGCTTGTAAAATAAAAAAATAACGTAACAGAGAAAATTACTGGTCAATAACAACTGTTGGACCAGTACACCAATTTAAAGTTTTAATAGGTCAGTCAACGAAGGAGTAACTTTGACGAATGGCGGAAAAAATTCCCAACCACATTTTTTTTTTTTTTAAAGTTGAATTAAAATATGTATAATGACATACTAAAAGTCCTCATCGATTGGACTTGAGCTTTTTTTTTTACAGCCTCGCAAAAGTTCAAAAATATGAGCTTTTTTTAATTTTCTCAAAAAATATTTAACTTACAAAAAAAATTTCGTACAAAAGTTGTTTAAAAAATAATTTTAAACAAAAAAGATAACTTATATTTTTTCATTTAAACAAATATTTTTCGAATTACATTACATTTAATATGAGTACTAAAATGTATTTTCCATTTTTTTTCATTTTACGGTTACTTTTTATCATGTTATACTTACATTAGACACAATGTTATAAATGCATATGTGTGTATGTGCGAGTTTATTTATTTATAGTATCATTAAAGTGTAGTGTATATTAAGATACAACCGATAGAGTAAGTAATTTATTTGACGCTATATTGTTTAAACCCAACTAAACGCTAAATTGTACATTCCCAAATAACAATTATATAATGTCAATTGCTACCGGAATTTCTGCTAATAATAAAGATAATTGTCATAAAACGTCCTTTAGTCTGGTGCTGGAGGTGATAAAAATTGTGGCTGCCGAAAAACAGGGCTTAAATGTTCTATTATATGTGAACATTGCAAAGGTCAATGGTGTACAAATTCAATAGAAATAAAGATTGAAGATTAAGAAAATTGTACTTTTGTTGAAGATATATTCTATCAAAATTTAGAATGGGAAAATGAATAAGAAAATGGAAAAAAATTTTGTTTGATACATTTGTCAAATAACTTTATAGTGGCGAAATCCTCCATCGATTATATACTTTGCATTAGTAATGCATATAACTTGTATTTAGGATATAAATAAGGAAATAGAAGATCATGTAGCTTTTGTAATAATCCATTAAAATTTTAAAATTAAACACTATCTACAGATTTGCATCAAGGAGTTGTTTTTTGATAATGATTTTAATAATCTATATTGCATCCAATTATACACACTGTGCCGGGACACTGCTGGTTTTTTTTTTTAAATAGCGATTAGTTGAAATAGTAGCAGTGGGTTTACTTTAATTATTTCATTATTAATTTTAACAATAGAAGTTATTGAAGATACAGTTATAACTTTATTTGACCTTTTATATCATGAAAGTTATTATCCACCATTGAGTTTACTAGAACAATACCAATTTTAGACACTTTATGACAATTAATTTTATCATTACCAGAAATTCTGGCTGGGTTGACAAAAGAGAACATGAGGTAGGTGAAATGAGGAGATCAGTGACAATAGGCAAGGACGTGATTGGAGAGGTGGAAAGTTTTAAGTATTTAGGATCAATAGTGCAAAAGAGCGATGGTATTGACGAGAATGTAAGGCACAGGATTAATTGCGGGTGGTTGAAGTAGAGAGAAACGTCTGGTGTCTTATTTGATAAAAGATTTCCAATGAGACTAAAAGGTAAATTCTACAACAATGTAGTGAGACTAACAATTATGTATGGTTCAGAGTGTTTGGCGGTTGATAAGAAAGTAGAGCAGAGAATGAGTGTAGCAGAGATGAAAATGCTTAGTTGGATGAGTGGTGTGACTAGAAAAGATAGAATAAGGAACGAGCATATAAGAGTGAGTATAGGTGTAGCATCAATGGTGGATAAGATAAGAGAAAATAAACTTAGATGGTTTGGTCATGTTATGAGGAGAGAAGAATCGGAATCTGTAAGAACAGTTATAAAAATGAATGTTGAAGGAATAAGAGGTAGAGGAAGACCAAAAAAGAGATGAAGGGATGTTATTGAATGCGATATGAAGACAGCTGATGTGAGCGTAGAAGATGTGGGAGATCGTGTCAAGTGGTAGTTTAGGATGAGGGTGGCCGACCCGAAGTAGTTGGGATTAATACAAAGAAAAAGAAAAAGATTAGCAGAAATTCCGGTAGCAATTGACATTATATAATTGTTATTTGGGAATGTACAATTTAGCGTTTAGTTGGGTTTANATAATTGTATTCTCAAACATAGATTAAAATTTAAAAAAAGCCATTATTACAAAAAAACATTTAATTAGTAAATAATAATTTTAAGACAGGTGCTTATTGAGTTACAAGCATTTTAATAGAGTGATTTTTAACTTTATATATCTTGAATATTGCTATTACCGTATCCTTGAGAATAAATTTAAATGAAAGGGAATTTTTCTTTGCTGTTTAAAAGTAATGTTTGCCCCTCTTACCAATAACGCTACTAATTCCTAAGATCTATAATGATAATGTTATGTATTATGAATAGTAATGATAGGGACTAAATATTTTTATTAAGTAATAGATTAAATTGACATACTTTACTTATGTTTCAGAATGTATTATGTTGACATAATTAGCAAATTGTTATTGCTTGCTCTTTTATTTTGGACAGTATTCAAATGGTCTGATATTATCATTGAAATTAGTTCATTCATTTTAGATGTGATTAAAATGATTTTTGACTTAGGTCGATCAGTATTCAAGTCAAATTATTTAGTAAATCATCGATAAATAATTAATTATGAATAAAATAGTGAATAATTAATAATATTAATAAGTATANGCCTATAATTAGAGGTGTGTCGTAAGTGCTGTTATTTGTATCATTAAATATTTCTCGACTTCACGTCTTTTCCCGCCTAGATATAAAAATGTAAATAACTTTTGAAATACTAGTGATGTTTAATCTGTATAATGAGATATCATAAACATTAACTAGAGTATAACTAAAATATTATCGTTATAATAATTGTTCTTAACAATAAAACAAATAAAAATAAATATTTTTATTCTCAAACATAGATTAAAATTTAAAAAAAGCCATTATTACAAAAAAACATTTAATTAGTAAATAATAATTTTAAGACAGGTGCTTATTGAGTTACAAGCATTTTAATAGAGTGATTTTTAACTTTATATATCTTGAATATTGCTATTACCGTATCCTTGAGAATAAATTTAAATGAAAGGGAATTTTTCTTTGCTGTTTAAAAGTAATGTTTGCCCCTCTTACCAATAACGCTACTAATTCCTAAGATCTATAATGATAATGTTATGTATTATGAATAGTAATGATAGGGACTAAATATTTTTATTAAGTAATAGATTAAATTGACATACTTTACTTATGTTTCAGAATGTATTATGTTGACATAATTAGCAAATTGTTATTGCTTGCTCTTTTATTTTGGACAGTATTCAAATGGTCTGATATTATCATTGAAATTAGTTCATTCATTTTAGATGTGATTAAAATGATTTTTGACTTAGGTCGATCAGTATTCAAGTCAAATTATTTAGTAAATCATCGATAAATAATTAATTATGAATAAAATAGTGAATAATTAATAATATTAATAAGTATAAACATTCAAATACGTGTGATATTAATTAATTAANATAGATGCATGATGTCAGTTTCTATCATTTGGTATATTTTTTTTATAAATCTGACTTTTTACCTGCCTACAGGAAAGGATTTAAAATGACAACTTTTTTACGAAAAAATTGACTTTTTCAACTTAAATTTTGAAAGTGTTCCGGAAAGTCTGACACTTTTATATATATCTTAAATTAAAGCTAATGTAATGTTCTTTATTATGCAAAAAAAAAATTTCGGACTTTATTTTGTCTTCACGGTGAAAATGGCTACCGAATGCTATTTTTGTGTGAAAATTTTCGATTTTGTATTTTACATTTTTAACTTTATTATGCTATAACTTATTGAAAAATGTATGGATCAACATTATTTTTTTATGAGAAATAATATTTTTTTTTAATCCCTTTTTCATTCGACATACTTTATCTTAATTAGGATATTAATAATGAACTAGCAGATCATGTAGCTTTTAGAATAATCCACCAATTTTTGAAAATTAAACACTATCTAAAGATTTGCATTGAAGCGTTTTTTTTTTTGATAATGATTTTAATCACTGTTAGATATCATTATACTTGATCCATCTATGCCACGTCACCACTGTGCCGCGACCCCCCTATGCTGGGTTTTTTAAATAATAATTTTAGTACAATTCAGGGTTAAGAACCAAAATAATTTCGGTTTTTGACAATTATTCTTGTATTTAGTAAATTAGTTTATTAATATAGAGTTTTTTTTAGTACACTTTGACCCCCCTATGCTGGGTTTTTTAAATAATAATTTTAGTACAATTCAGGGTTAAGAACCAAAATAATTTCGGTTTTTGACAATTATTCTTGTATTTAGTAAATTAGTTTATTAATATAGAGTTTTTTTTAGTACACTTTGAAAAAATTATTATAGAAACCAAAAATATTATGAGACAACTTTTGTAACCTTTATTGAACTTAAAATTTAAAAATAAATTAACTCATTTTTCTTTTTTAATTTTTGGTATTATAATATATAAGTATAAGGTCTAATTTTAAGTTAGATTAAGGTTTTAAAAGCGATTTCATAATACTTTGGGTTTCTACAATTCATAGCCAACAAATTCTTAAAAAAATATATAATTTTTGGTCAACTAACTTACTAGATATGATAAAAAAAATGTCGAAAACCCGAATTTATTTCGATTCCTAGCTTTGGTAAAATTATATATTTTTGCGGTAAAATTTATAACTAGTATGAAAAATTATTTTAAATCTGGTAAAATTTGTTTTATTATATGCGTCATCTTTTAAATTTCTAGCATTTTTGCTTTACAATAAAAGTATTTATTCTACTAAAAAATATATAATTTACGTTTTATACCTATCGTATAACTAAATTTATAAATGTGACTATAATATTTTTAAAAATGTCGGAGCTATGTTTAAAGCCAAAAAGTTTTTTTCAAAAAATCAAACAAACTTTCTTATTTCCTCATTAGGAGACATTAACTGCTTAATATTTTGGTAAATTTTTTTTCAATTTTAAAGTAGTCACCAAAGTTTAAACATTTTTAACCTTTTGACAGAATGTTTTTTTGGTGATTGGATTTTAAGAAGTGCGTTATTTTTTCCATGGCAAATTCAATATTTAGATAGTAGAAATTTATATTATTTTTGTCCAAAATTTCAATATCAAACAATATTGAGATATATGCACAAATATAGATAATCAACTAGATGCCAACACATAACTCACCAACAAGTGACTTGGAGGCAATAATTATATAACTTTTTTGATCTGAATAAAAAAATTTATGCGAAGTATAGCACAAAATATACAAAATAGATACTGATAAAAATTTACATAGTCAATGTAGGAGGATGAATAAACCAGTTTGCCATTTTGGTTAGTGTATACAAATCGTTAAATGTTAACCATGTTAACCTTTTCGAAAATTTAATAATAATTAAAACAAATTATTTTTTCACTATTTTAAAAACTTAATTAATATTTAACAGGTACATCGAAGTACTAAGCATATTAAAATAATATATTTTTTGAATAATTTCACATTTTTATAAAATAAATAATTTTTTTTTTGTTATTCCTACAGTAAAAATGATGACATTACACATGGAAAAATTTAAACCAAATATTGTTTACATTAAGAAGTGTCCGAGGCCTGAATATAAGTACTGATGTTTAGCCTTAAAAAATTGCTGCTATGATGTTTCGCTTATTAAAAGCAACAGTATAGAACAGATACAAATTTAGTTTATCATTTATATCTGTGATAAGATGTATCTAAACGCGGGAATATTAAGTTTCTCTATGATTATTCTTATTGTCTATGCACTATTAGTTGATAACAATTAGGAAATAGTCAATTTGTTTCTTTACCACGAATTAAGATAAAATAGACTGGACACGATACGGTTGGGTTGGGTTTGGATATTCGACAAGCAGTGAGCTCTAGCGACGAAATATTTTAAGAATACAAAATTACAAAAATTGAGTTGGAAAACTACATGTATAATAGATGGCGACGTTACTTTTAAATTGTTCCTTCTATAATAAATTATAATAAAACAGGATGAGATCTGATAAAGCATCGCGACTAATTCATTTCATGTTAGTGCGTTGTCTTTACTCTGTTACAGAATTTTTACGACATGACAATTCACGTCATTCTTATGAAAGGGTTTAATTGAACTATTATAGGTTCATCAATTTTGTTAGTTATTTAAAACAATAGTTATTACATTTTCTTTCAAACAAAAAAACAAGGAGAAAACTTGCAACATTTAAAAAAAATGTTTATATTTAATAATAATTAATTATATTTAATTATAATTAAAATAAATATAAAATTTATGAATAACAAATTCTACTGTTGTTTAAATAGAAGTTAATAGATTTTTTTAATTAAAAAATTTAATCTACTGATGCAATTTACTCGAATTTAAAATAGCTGCTATGTAATAATATAATAAGAATTGATCATATGTGGCTAATATTATACATATAAGATTTGTTGCAATAGGCCCTATACATAAAAACACTATTTTTTTCACTTCCCTTTTATCTCTCAACACATACGAATATTCTATCTTATTACACAATATTTCTCACAACAAATACAATACACAATCAATATTTTCTGTTCTTAATCACAGCCAAGCGCATAGTTGACACGATCACGCCATACGCATCCGCTCTTTACTGTATAAACAAAATCTGAAATGCCTAAAAAAATGTGATGCAAAATGAAAGCCGGACGATGAATATGTGCATCTCTGGAAGGGGTTACAAGAAGGACACCAGGAGAGATCGAGGAATTGACGCGCTCGACCTGTTTCGATTGGACCCTAAAANGCCACACGTGTACCCTTCAACAATCAAATGTTACTAATTATTATTCTCAGTTAAAGAACCGTTTCACTGTATAAACAAAATCTGAAATGCCTAAAAAAATGTGATGCAAAATGAAAGCCGGACGATGAATATGTACATCTCTGGAAGGGGTTACAAGAAGGACACCAGGAGAGATCGAGGAATTGACGCGCTCGACCTGTTTCGATTGGACCCTAAAACGGACACGTCGTTATCATCGTCTGGTTCTCCCGAGCTATTTCAAATAAACACTGTAAAATAATTATAAATATATTTATCAGCATTTGAGCTTGTGTTTATTAATTAAGAGCAATATCTGTGCATGATTGTCACGTGCTGTAATTACTCTCTAAATATTACAATTATTTTATATAATCATATGTGAAGTGACATTAATTATATTGTTTTATTATCTATAATTGTCTGGATTTGCGTTTTTATCATTATTCTACAAACCTTATCTACACGCGTAAAGAATAATCAAAAGCTCTGGTAAGAACATTCAGACTTAGCCTGCAAATTAATATTAACAAATGTAGACCCTCGAACAACACACCCTGAGTAATACACCAAGGATACTTTTTTATATTCAATACTCCTTTCATTATACAGTATCTCATTACTACACCTTCCCCGCACTACATTTTGGTTTACGACAGATTTTAAATGTGAAATAATTATTGATCCACATTTAAATGAATAATCAATTTTAACAAAGAAGAGAAATAAAATACCAATTATTTAAGTTAGAAACTTCATATTAAGTAAATTTTATTGCGTTATAATGTTAGAAGATTTTATAATATTATGTTATAATAATTCACTTTATTTCGATGTCGGCGTATTTGTGATACTATCAATTATACTGACAATTTGCTTGTAAACTTAACAATTTTTAAATTGAATCCACTGTCAATGTAAAACAAACTAAAGTTAAAGAAATTTTCTAAAGAAACGTGAGGTATAGAAATTTGTTCTTTGTTTACCAAATAAACATATAGTAGTTTAAGATTTATAATATTATATAAATTAATTCATCTATATTACCAATATACATTAGTTTTAAGATGAATACAAAAAATTTATGAAATGAAAAATCAGATATTAAAAAATGGTCTGATAACTTTGTTGACTGGGATAGTTTTCGAATGTGTTACAGTTTTATTGGATTGTCCTGTTGCTTGAAGTGCTTAAGGGTGTATTCATGTTTACATGTAAACATGGATAGTTTTGATTTCATTTTTTTCAAAATGAAAAATTTATGAAATTATTTTTTTATAAAGTTAAATATAAGTACTACAGAAACACGATTTATGGATAAATAATAGATAAATTGTTTTTATTAGGTTTTTTACCTAGGTTACAATTATAAATATCATACTGGGATAGTTGTATACGTTCATTTGGGAGCATTGAAAATCCCGAAATTGTATATTTATTAATATAACATGTTCACATAATATATGACACATGTTATATTATAATTAATTTAAAATTTTAAACACTATTACTAAATATTAATATTTATCTAGAATAATGGGACAATGTCGATTGTCTATGTGGATTTCACTCCGAAGAGATTCA